ATTTGGTCAAGTATATATTGCATTGCATTGAGGGAGAATTTTTAAGGAGCAAATAGACGCCATCTTGGAAATATGTTCACTATAACTGGCCCACAATGCAATGCAATGCCAACTTGGCCTTTTTTTTWATCTTTGAAATCTGTTTTAGCCTCTAGAAAATATATACTTTTATAGACATTAGATGAGTATGTAGTTTACAGTTTGCTATGAGGTTTTTAGTGAACATCGTTCGCGAAGCCCCCCCCCCCCACCCCACCCTCCCCAGGTTCCATTAATGATTTCATTATTCGAATATAGAAATTTTTTTCCTGAGAACACGAAGACTCCCGTTTCATAATAATAGAGAATAGAGGGTTTAAGATTCTCGTTTACGGCAAACGTTAAACGTCAGTTGACCATTAAAAAATTCTTTAAAAATAGCGAAATGGAATCGCAAAAATCTCCAAGTAGTAGATAAACAAAAGAATAATTGTCTTTGTCGAGAAGGTTTGCAAAAGGCAAAGCGAAATGTAGGAAAACGATGAAAACGTGGTCACGTTTGCCGTTTGCGGGAAGGAAAAACGAGAATCTTAATCTGCCTAATTACCGATTCAARACTCGAATTCTGATTGGATTAAGATGCATAGATTTCAATATTCGAATAAAGAAACCATCATTGGAAGCTAGGGGGTAAGTTTGAGCCGTTGTGGCTGTAAATGCTTTCGTCGACTACAAACAACACTAACGTTCTCAAATATAACATCTGTATGTGTTACTGACAAGTATAACACTTGAGTATATAAGATCTTAGAAACCCAAATGATATATTGCAGCTATTCTTGGATCTTGGAATGACGAATAATTGTTGAATATTTACATCATTCCTAGCTTCCAAGAAAACCTTTTTTTAAAAGCTGTTGTGAAAGTCATAGTTATGATAACGTGAGTATCAGGCTCTCTTGGGGGGAGGGGGGAGAAACTCAAATGATATATGATAAGCGTGATCCTCATCGCATGACCAAATTCAATTTCTATTTCTATTTCACTATGTATGCTTTGACTCGCACTCAGCACTGACAACAAAAAAGCACAAACACACTTCAAGTTCTAAGCAAAAAATGGCTCCAAAGGTTCTACCACAAACATTGAGTCATCGATGTTCAAGAAGTTTAATGTGGGGAATAATCTTCTGTACTATTGTGAGCAGAATAGTGGGTTTGTTTCTGCATACCGTGTGGATTTGTGACTGTTTCTTCAGAGAGTTTAAGATTGGAGTTCAATGCCAAACATTTTCTCTTTACCCGAACCCAGAAGTAATTTCTGCGATCTGGCTCATAATTGTCAGCTTTACATCTTTATTTCTGATCTCCTACGCAAGGCGTTTGCCTGAATTTCCAAGCTTCAAATCAATTACCAGCCATCTTTTTGGAAAGAAGTACTTCTACAAGCTTTGTGTCACTTTCATAATGGTAATTATATACGATTTGATTACCATTCTTGGCGGAGAAGTTAAAGTACTAAAAAGAACTATCGTATATTATCTTTATATGCTCGAACACACCACTTCTTTTTTCCTAATATTTACGTTAAACTTCGTTCCAAAGTTCGTCAACAATACAGCCTCGCAAAGTAGATTGAAAACTGTTGTTTATAAGATAACTTTGCTCGTTTATTCCATCGAAAATTATGTCATATACGCACTAGGGACTATTATAGCTGCGTATAAACTGGTAGCAGTTCAATCATGTAGTTTGAAACATTTTGAAAGCCAGTACAACATATCTCGATTGTGGGAAAGTGCTATGGGAAAAACGGTCTGTCACGATGCTACATCTGTTGCTATGTTATTGCTTCTATTAAATTCCATTTCTCTCCGTCATACTCTAGGAGAGTTTTTTTTGACTAAAATCTTCCGAGAAAATGTCGATGTTYTCGACATACCGTTGAAACCAAACACTCTACAAGAAACGGTGGGCATTTTTGCAGAAGAAAATAGGGAAAATACTCGTTTGTTGAATCAATGGTAGGTAACAAGGTACGAGAACTATCAGAAATGGAC